CCCCTTAGGGGTTTAGGGTTTAGGGTTTACGGGCTTAGGGTTTTGGGTTTAGTGGTTTAGGGTTTAGGGTTTAGGGGCTTAGGGTTTGGGGTTTAGTGGTTTAGGGTTTAGGGTTTAGGGTTAGGGGTTTAGGGTTTCGGGTTTAGGGTTTTGGGTTTAGGGTTTAGGGTTTAGGGGTGGGTTAGGGTTTAGGGTTTTGGAGTTTGGGGTTTAGGGTTTTGTGTTTAGGGTTGAGGGGTTTTGGGTTTAGGGGTTTAGGGGTTTGGGGGGTTTTGGGGTTTAGGGTTTTGTGTTTAGGGTTAAGGGCTTAGGGTTTAGGGTTTAGGGGTTTAGGGTTTGGGTTTTGGGGTTTAGGGGTTTAGGGGTTAGGGTTTTGTGTTTAGGGTTTAGGGGTTAGGGTTTAAGGGTTTTGGGTTTAGGGGTTAGGGTTTAGGGTTTAGGGGTTTAGGGGTTTGGGGTTTTGGGGTTTAGGGTTCAGGGTTCAGGGTTTTGGGGTTCAGGGTTTAGGGTTTAGGGGGGTATACGGGCTAGTAGAATAGGGTTCTGGGTGTGTCCACTACTGTTGATGATATAAACCCTGCATTACCTTAACGGACCCTAAACTATGGAATTGTGGTATACTCCTTATTATGGGAAATGCAGGATTTATATATTATAAGGTCCCACTATTTCGGAAGCTCCGTATTATAATTACAGTCTATTGGGCCCCCACGCCCTATTTACATCATCAACCGTATGACTATGATACTGTTACGGTATGAGTATAGAGGGACTCAGTGGCAATAGTGTTGTTTGTTATTCCGACCCCTACATTACTTTCTGTAGGGCTTTGGGTTTAAGGTTTCGGGTTTAGGGTTTAGGGTTTTTTGAAGTGTAACGGAGCGGACTTTACGACCATCCCAGCCTCGCGAGACCTACACTACGGTGAATCATCCTCAACAACCTAGGGTTTAGGGTTTAGGGTTTAGAGGCTGTCCGGTTTTCGGTATTTCTGTCAGACTTTGAGACTTCAGACCCTAAACCCTAAACCCTACACAGCCCTACACCCTGAACCAGGCTCAGATTTTGAGACTCTTGGGTTTCCCCCTCAGCACAAAGCAAAAGCAAGCTAGGCCTTATGTTCTGGAGGGCATAAGGGTACTGTAAGGTTTCTATAAAGGACTACTATGAGGGTTCTATAAAGGGCTATAATAAAGTTCAGACTTCAAGGCGATTTTTTTTATGATACTCAGCATGGCTTTAGATGGCTTTAGCATGGCCTTGTTGCTTTTGCACGCTGTCTGTGGGGCTCTTTGAGGTGTGTGCAAAGGTTTGAGACGAGATTTATGAGGATAATTCCAGAACAGTTTCTCTTTCTCAGATGACCGTTTAACAACTGATTGCAAAGCAAGGAGCTAAATTAAAATCTGCAGGACAGTTTGCACACAGGCTATGATTTGATACATGCTGGAGCTTGAGGTGAATGAGTTTTTACATGCTCTTTCAATCCTTGTAACAGGTTCCAGTTCAGCCTTCTTGTTGCAAGGTCTGAGCTTAGGCAGTAAGGCTTGGGCGTTGGGATTGCGAACCTTCTACGATTGCAAACTATGTTGAACGATTAATGTTCCAGGCAAATTTTAAATATGACGAGTAGCAGGAATACATAGCAATACTAGGAGCAGTGCTTGCTGTCGCAAGAGAAGGCGTAGTGGTAGAAGGCATAGTAGAAGTAGTCGAAGTACTAAGGGGACTAGCTGTAGCAGTCTGCAGTAGCAGTAGCAGCAGCATTAGCAGTAGGAGTACTCGTAGTTGCTCGTCGTCGTGGCAGAAGTACGACCAATAGCAGCAGCAGCACCAGCACTGGTACAGTACTAGTACCAGTACGAGTCGTCGTTTCGTCGTGGAAGGGAAGTAGTGGCAATTGTTCTTGTTGTTGTTGTTGCTGCCGCGGCTGATAGTCGTAGTGGTAGTGTGGCAGCGGTAGTAGTAGGAGCAGCAGAAGCAGCAGCAGTGCGAAAAAGGACGGAGAAAACCGAAACTGTACAATGAAGACAGGATGAACAGCATGCAAAGGGCGCCGGCGCCATTCTGATGCAAGTGGCACTACAAGAACCAGATTGACAAGAAGAGCCCAAACGGCAGCTTGGTGATGGTAGCCATGGCCGTCATATGGCACTGAAGATATTCTAGGGTGTACAAAAAGCTTAAATCCTCGCGTATCTCCGGGTAGGCATCGCGAGGTCATCACAAGCTCCTGAACCAGCCCTCTAAACCCTAAACCCTAAAGTTTTGCACACAAGACTTACTTCCCCAATAAGCCAGGGAAATAAGAGGTTTAGGGCTTAGGGTTTAGGGCCCAATAAGCCAGGGAAATAAGAGGTTAAACTTTCAGATTACTACCAAATAAAGAGAACCCAAAAAGTTAAAGGTTGGGTATTGGGGAACTAAGAAGAACCCGACCCAGCACAGAAAACCGCAGTCTACAGACGACTGCTGCAGAAATCCCAGATGGAGTCCTAGACCACCGGCCGAACAGCACTCTAAACCCTAAGCCCTAAACCCTAAACCCCTAAACCCTAAACCCTAAACCCTAAACCCTAAGCCCTAAACCCTAAACCCTAAAAGCACAATCACTACCAAGGCTTCAACGACTACAACCGGGCTTTGGTGCACATTTGTATCAGGGTTCAGGGTTCAGGGTTTAGGGTTTAGGGTTTAGGGTTTAGAGGTTTAGGGTTTTGGGTTTAGGGTTTGGGGTTTGGGGTTTAGGGTTGGTTAATTGGTGCTAAGGAGCCCTAAAGGAATCGCCTCCTTCATCGTTCAGACCCCAAAGTAGCTTGGTCAGCGAGCGCTAAACACGACAGCGCACATCAGATTGGCAACGCTCTTGAACGTCCGATACTCCTTCTCGTCCTCCGCAGTTGGGGTTTAGGGTTTGTAAAGGTACTGTCCCTGCAAGTGGTAGCTTTCAATAGTTAATGTCCATGTGATGACGAGTTTGGGATTACAAGTTTCAAGTCCTAGTCTAAGGTTGAACCCATGGGCCCCTATTATGGGCCCTTAACCCTGGGACCCTTATATACCTACTATTTACCCTATATGTACCCTGAAGGGACCCTAGAACCCCCTAAGGGTCCATATTAAGGCCCATACTTCTAACCTGGGACCTAGAAACCCTGCCAGACTTCAGGGCTATGACATGGATTGAGCTGTTAGCCGGAGCCCAATCGATCCCAGGTGGGCATACTGAAACTTAGGGTTTAAGGTTTAGGGTTTAGGGTTTAGGGAACTAGGGATGGACAGTATGTATTCTGCTTCATTGAGATGGCATTGGTAAGTTGAGGTAACTGCTTGTAGGAGCTGTGTAAACATTCCGAAACGCGGTTCTTAGATTCCATACTGTCTAAATCTCCATCCAGAGTCTAGTCCGTGTTCGGGTCGCAAGAATTATGCAACCCCTATGAAACCTCAACTTACGCGCTTCATATGCCCCAAATGCCTCAAGCCACAGACCCCTAATGTAGGAGCCTTACTAAGTAGAATAGGGTTTCGGGATATACTATACAACAATTATAAGAAGGAGCCCTCAAAATAATAAGCTGGGCAGCTAGGTACCTCTCATGATGTAGACACCTTGTCACGGAGGATTCAAGGAAGGATCCCTATACGAAGACCCCCGAAGTAAGCGGTGCATTACTCAGGAAGTTTACCTTGTACACCAAGTATATCTCGGAGTTTCAGAAACAAGCCTCAAATGTGGCATCATGAGACCAATAAACGGCAACACACGGGGATGGAATATGATTGGAAGTCCCCCTATACGCGCAAGAAGCCTACCTTGAGGATCATGGGGCTTAGTAAGTGGGATTGAATATCTTAAGTGGGCTCGTAAGCTCTAAACATGCACAGTTATAAGCCTAGTTACCCAAACAATAACCCCAGAGCTACGGGTCCCATGATCCTTTAAGTAACCTCAACTTCGATCGCTGGCTAACCAAGCGAGTCACACCCGCCACTTCGGTTCGCTAACCCAAATTCCGACATGAATTGAATTGCCTGAGTCTCCAAAACCGCACATGTAAACGGTGGTTGCGTTCCGCCCCAATGTGGCCCAACCATAAATAAATAAGTAAGTAAGTATGTATATATATATATGTGTGTATATATATATATATATGTGTGTGTGTGTATGTAGGTATGTATATATTGATATTTCGTTGGTTATATATTTGTTTACTTGTAGTTAGATAAGATCTATTGTGTTCATATTTGGATGTTGACGTAGTACTACTACGGAACACAGCTTAAACTATAAAGGGTTTCTGAAAGTGTATAAGGCCTTGCTTGACCAAGGGGAATAAGCTCCCTGAGCCCTGCTTTCACAACCTAAAGAACCCTTATCATACTCTCTTGTCACCAAGCCTCCCAAAATTGCTTCAGGGATAGAAACCAGATTGCAGGCCCAAAGCTCCGAAACACGAATCCCTAAACCCTTGAGAACCAAAGCCCGAAGCCCTAAACTCTTAGACTTAGACCCTGGAACCCTTAAGCCCCAAACCCCCCAATTCCTGAAACCCTTAATCTTAAGCCTATAAACCCCGAACTCCTTAAACCCTAAGCCCAAAACCCTCATGCCCTCCACAGAGAACCCTTATAGATACCTTAAAGAAACCTTTAGAGGAACCCTTATCGGATTAGCGTTTAGGGTTTAGGATTTGGGGTTTAAGCCCTTATGGGTCCCTTGAAAACACTGTGGCGACACCAAATCCTGAGACTGGAAGAAGCCGACTGCCGTGGTGTTTGCCGCCTCGGGTCCATGCAGTGTCGGTCTTGGTCGAAGGTTTAGACGGTTGAGGACTTAGGACTTAGGATTAAACCCAACACCCCAAGAGGGCTTAGGGTCTAGGATTAAAACCAAAGACCCTACCTTAACCCCAAATAACCTACCTTTGCAAGGCCTTTTATAAGCACTTCATTATAAGGAACGCCAAAAAAAGGTAGGTCATTTGGGGTCCAGGAAAACCTTAACAGGGTTTAGGGGTTTCCAACTTTGGGGTGTAGGCTTCAGGGTTTAGGCGTCGTGGTTCGACCTCGAGGGGCGTGTATGAACATATATATATATATACATATATATATAGAGAGAGATACGTGTGTATAGCTGTATGTGTATAGAAGCATGCATATGCATATATATATATATATATATATGTATAGCTATATACAAATATGAATCAATAACTAAAACCGTACATATATATATATATATATACACATATACATATATAAATATATACATATATATGTATGTATATATATATATATATATTACATATGCCATTCGAGCAATGAGCAATGGATGCTCAGCAATGGGCTTGGGGAGAACTCACTGGGTGAGGGGAGCCTTTAAGCATTGCCCGAGATGACCTCTGGAGCATTCTGGCAGGAGCGTTGCCCAAAGCGTCCAAGCAATTAAAAGTGTAGTGGTGCTTTGGGGGCCCAAGTATCTATGAAGTACCGACGAATAGTATACACATTTTGGGACCCAAAAATCTACTAAGTAGCTACTCTTTCGGTACTTGCACCCTTTGGGCCAGCTACGTATTGTTGATGGACCACTCCGGCATGATTCGTGTTGAAGTGTCTACCGACGCAGTTCGCTGTGTTAGCAGGGTACTTAAGATAGTTGAGGGTTATGCGCAACAAACCCTAAGCCCTAAACCCCAAGCCCAACCCTAAAATCCTAAGCCAAAAGCCCTAAACAGGATGAATAACATGGCGATGTTCACAAGAAGGTAAGATGCTCTCGTACAAACCCGAACCCGAAAGGCTCGCCTGGAGCCTAAACCCCTCGCCCAAACCCTACCTGGAACCTAAAGAAGCTACCTTTTTATTAGGTTTCCTTAATTTTAGGTTTCCTTAGTTTTAGGCTTCCTTAGTTTTAGGTTTCCTTAGTAATATGAGTTCCTTATATACGTCCTTAAGAATGTAAGCTGTTTGGGGGTAAGGTAAACCGTTAAAGTGTATGGTGCCGTGTGTTGGCATCATATTGTCGTTCGCAGGGTCTAAACCAGAAAAGACATTTTAGGGTCCTCGTACCCATATAGAATATACTGTGGCCCTTAAGGGTCCAAGTACCTCATCTAATCATCACATACCCCAAAAAAACAACCTACTTAACAACTGCTATCCTAAACCCTTATTGGGCCGTTTGGACCCGTGGCGTAAGGGCATACGCTGTCCCAGTCTTTGAAACGAAAAATCTGGCCTTCAACCTTTCGATCTCCTCCGCCGACTGCACTTCGAGAACAGCTGGTCCTGAAAGTAGGCTTGGAGTTCAGGGGTTGGGGTTAAGGCACGGTTAAGGGTTCCTAAACCCTAAACCCTAAACCCTAAACCCTAACCCCTAACCCCTAAACCCTAAACCCTAAACCCTAAACCCTAAACCCTAAACCCTAAGTTCGAGCA